CCCCCCCCCCCCCCAATGTCGAGGAGGGAAAGACGTTGGCTAAAGGGAGTTGTAGGTGAAACGCAGCCGGATAGGATGGCATTTTCCTGCTGTCCTTTGTTTCTCTCCCTCCCGCCCTCTCCTTTTTGCTTTCTCCTTACTCTTCTTCCTCTTCTCCGTCCCTTTTGTATCCACCTCTACCTTTCTTTCCCTGCTTATCCTTCTTGCTCTCTCCTTCCCTTGTCTTTCCTCTCTCTGTCTCTTTTTATTCACAGCTCCCTGGGATGGAATCCTTGTCAGCCGCAAGAACTCAAAACCAATCTGTCGTGATGGGCGGCTGTGCAAAATTAGGGGTGGGAAGTGCGACCTCTCTGTTTCCTGTTTTTTAAGAGTTTGCCATTTGTGCCATTTCTTGATTTGTGCATGTCATTGTGGATGATCGTTCCCCTTTTTTTTTTTTTTTTTTTTTTTTTTAAGTTAGGGACCATGCTAATCTTCTATGTCTCGTTCCAATTTTAAAGGATGTCCCAAAGGACATGCACGCCATCGTTGCTCAGACACCATGCCAATTTTGTCTGTATCGTTCCAGTTTTGCAGTTTTGATGGATGTGGCAAAGAACGGCGGGACTGTACGATTTCTGTTTGGATAATCTAGTCTGTTTGAGAAAGGCTGGTGGGACTTTAAGCGGACCATGAACCTGTAAACAGAACAGGCTGGAGCTGTTGCAAAAGACATTATGGTTTAGGCCCTTTAGGGTCATAGGTGACCTTTGATGATCTGAAGGGACGGAGAGTAGGTGTTATTCTCTTCAGCCCCTTCTTAGGTATGATTATCCATTATTATCTTCAGTCACCAGGCAGGTGCAGTCTTCCTCCTCCTCCCCCCCCCCCCCCCTCCCTCCTCCGTTAGCTGTTGTGAAGAATCTGAATGCGTTATTCTGTGTCATCAGTGAAGCTGGATTCTGTCTAAGAAAAGCGTCCCTCATGGTTTTTATCAAAATTATGATTACTATAATACTATTCTTAAAAACGTGGTAGTGATTTGACTCATTTGAAGTTCGAGAAGAATAATTGTTTCTGTTCCTCTCCCCTGTGGTGTCTCTGCAGGGCTTTTCTGATACAGGTGGCTTCGAAAGGGCGTCTTCTTCTTTGGGGAGCCAAGGTAGGAAATGCACATCCTGGTGACAGCCCAGAGGGCCTAGTCACACTAGGACTTTTCAGAATGTACCTGACTGCAATTAAGGCCGGACCTGGATGTATCTGACCGCAGATAAGTATAAAAAAAAAAAAATCAAAAAAGTTCTAGTGTGAGTATGCCCTGAGACTGGTTGATGCTCAGCATCTTGATTGAGGAAGCAAGAGCGACGAGAGGAGGAAAATAAAAATTAAAATTGGTTCAAGAATCAAAAATCAAATTTCAAAGTCCAGGTTCCGCCATCTGCACGACAGATCTATCAGGAGAATAAAAAAAAACAAAGAAAAAGCTTGACTTCCGTCTTCACCCAAATAGAATGCCGGGTCATTATTGCTGTATCTAGGCTGACAGTTGCACCAAATACAGCTATAATGACTGGGCATTTAATCGGGTTGAAGATGGTAGGGATATGTGCTAAACGTTGGAAGCACATAATGTACCGAAAATCAGAAACCCAAAGCAACTTACTGATTTTTGCAATTAGTGGAGGGGCGAGGGAGGAGGGAGGAGGGAGGAGGGAGGAGGAGGACAGAAAACGCTGAGCGTCACTTTCAGAGAAAGTATGCAGAACTACCGTCTTCCCCGGAACATAACACACCCTGAAAATGAATGTATACAAGCTATATTTCCGGCCAGATACAGCCAAAATAAGGGTGCGTTGTGTTCGGGGGAAGACGTTAGCAAGCGTCTTGTCTTGTCTTCTTCGATTAACACTTGGGCCATACTCACACTAGCACTTCCTTAAATGTATCTGACTGCATTTACGGCAGGACCAGGATGCATCTGGCTGCTAAGTGAGTCAAAAAAGTCCTCTAGTCCGAGTAGTGCCCTTTTGCTCTGTAGCCAGGCCGGCTGGACAGCAGGACGAGCAATAGAGGCAGGGATCCAAATGCCGTTTTTTTTTTTTTTTCCTTTCCCAAATGCCATTTTGAATTGCCTGCAACAGAGGATACAATCATACAACACCATTTTTAGTTGCCTTCAACAAGGTATACGACATCACATTTTGTACCGATCCCGGGTCTGCATTTCATGGGGGTTGATTGATCGGTGGATGGCCGATGGAAGGCTTCATTGCTACCCCCCCCCTCTCTTTCGCCACCCCCACGGCACCCTACCCTCTCCCCCCCCCTTCTTCTCCCCTCCCTTTTCCCACCTTCCCCTCAATCCCGGTGAAAAGATCGCATCTCTGGTATCCAGACTCAGTCCCATACAAGGAGTAAGAAGAGGCAGACAAGAAGTGATGGAGTTGCATCTCCTCACAAGGGTGGGTCATGCTTCATTCTTTTTTTTTTTTTTTTTTTTTTTTTTAACTAGTGCTTCATTCTATTTTGATGAGGTTGACAAGCCAGAAACTCTGGCTGTGGCGCAAAAGGGGCTCCAGGTGCTTCCACTGGTGCATGCAGTACGCACTAGGATGTTATCATTGTTATGTTTTCTTTTCTTTTTGTTTCTTGTTCATATGACTGCATCTGGATTTGAACCTGGGTCTGTATTTCAAAACATTCCATGGGTGTACCAACTGAGCTACCGTCTTCACCCGAATAGAACGCCGGTCATTATCACTGTATGTATCTAGACCAAAATCGGCCCAAGTACAGCTATAATGACCAGGCGTTCTATTCGGGCAAAGACCGCCCGTTGGCTATCCACCAGCATGTTGCTGTTTGAGAAGGACGGATCTATCCAAGCAGGCGGGTTGTTGAATCTGTGTGCGTTTTTCAGACAGAATGCATGAAGAAGGATGGAGAAGAGGGGAGGGTGGACAATATTGCATAGTGTGTGTGGGAGACGTCAACAAAATTGTTGATGGCTCTACTTTCCAACTGATGTGTTTCGTGAGTTTTGTCTCACGTTTTCAACTGCTCTGCTCCTCGCTGTTCCTCTTCATATTCCCCTCCCCTCCTCTCCCTTCCTCCTCATCCCCC